AAGTAGCAGGAGAGTGCACTGGGTGATACAAATACGTTACCAGGCAAGTGCTCCTCTGCTTTTGACACTTTTCAGACAGCAGTCCCCCATGCAGTGCTCCATGTGGAAAGATGTGGCTGTTGCACCTCTATAAAGGATGCAAAGCAATGAAAACCAAGGATGTGGCAGGACATGACATGGGAGGTGAAGGGTGGATTCCCTAAAAGCTCTGAGCACAACTGAAGCGTTCTGATCTAGGCTAGCACACAGCGGAAACAAACACAAGCTAGGGCAGTGAGCCTATCTCAGGCTTTTTCTCATTAATTTCAGATTAATCTCTGAGCATTTGCATACAAGCTTGGAACCAGAAGCAAAGCTCTAGTTCGTTAACAGCTAAGCAGAGATTTTGCATACGCAAATACCATGCAACGGAAGGAGGCAGAGAATGGAAATAGCTTTTGGCTGCTACCTCAGGTTTCTGGTGCACACCAAGAGACAAGGAGACAGAACAGTTCAAGGATCACTTTAAGCTATGCAAGCTGACAATAATCTCTAAAGGCCCATGACATATCAGTGTTCTCTAGCAATTTGGAACAATACCTTCTGATCCCAACACAAATGATGCCAAAACAAGGACAGCTGAGCTGCTCATGCCAGCTTTGTGTCATCTGAGAACAGTGTGGGCTCAAGAATGCCTGCAAGGTCAAGGACCTGACTCCTCCTGTGGTTTGGGTAGGTTTCAACTCCTTGCAAGACCAAGGTATCTTGGGATATTTAGCGCTCATACTAAAATGAAGTTTCTTGCAGTGGGAGCAATCTGGACAGCTGGAGGGATCATGCATTAAAACAGCACTTTTCTACTCCTCTGCAGATGACGTTTTCATGAAAGTCTTAAGTTGAAGATAGCTAAAATATTAAGTCTGTTTTTATTCTGGTCAGTTTGGTGAATTCAGCTGAGTTTGGAGCAGACAGAGAATAAACCTCACAACTAAAAGCCTTTGATTAACTGAACAAGTTGACATATGACTTATGTAGAGAACAGACTTTACAGACTTTCAGATCTGGAACCGCCTTTTCACTTTAGACTTAGTTCCTCAAAACAGCCTCAGGGAAAGCCTGAACACTGCCCACACCCACTACTTCTTACGCCAACAGGCTGCTTGGGACTGCGCTGAGGCACTACTCATCTGGCAACTTTCATGGGCAGTAATTAAAAAACCCACAACTTTTATTTGCAGTCATGATGGAGGTTATATATTGTATCAGTGCTGCTCATCTGACTCCCCTGGTAGATACAAGAGATTTTGTGTAAGAACAAAAATATTATTTTTCCTACTACTATTTAAGCCTGTTACTACATATAGCAGTTGTATATAGTGCTGACCTGATTACAGCCTTATTCCCATGTAATAATAATATTAATCCCATGAACTGACACAGAAATTCCCCAGCATCTTATCGGTATTACTGGATTCAGGATTGTGGTCAGCTATGCGCAAGCAGTTTCTAGGGTGTTGACTGGCCCAGACTTAAACAGACTTTATTTTTAATATAGCAATATCATACAGAGGTAAAATAAACCTCTGTGTTATGAAATTAGCTGCTACACTGCAGGCACCCTACAGAAGTAAGCAATTACCTCATTTACTAATGACCTGTGAGAAACAAACCCCATACGTATGTTGCTTCTTAGCCACTGTTCTAGAAAGCGGCTCAATCTGTTAACTGAGCACAGTAAATACCTAATTAAATTAAATCTCCAACAAGCCTGAGAAAAATGTATTGAAAGCACTCTGCTTGATTACAGACATTGGTCTAAAGTAACAGACCTATTGATCTGGTCAACTTCAAGCTTATTCGCTTCACCCAATTTAATTTGAGAAGAACAATAACTAAATTTTAGTTGGATCTCCTTTCCCACTCTCAAGGGAAATAATCTGAAGTGACTCTGAGTTCAGGTGGCATACAGAAAATATTTAATATGTCAAAGAAAACATTTATTTTCTTGCAACTATGGACACAAAGTTACATTAAAAATGCAAATATGGTTTCCCATGCAACAATTACAGTGTTGCTGACAGGGTCATATGTCGTGAACAAACTTCTCTGGCGGGGGCAATAAACCAGTTGTTCCCCAAGTTCAGGATGATATTAAAAACCGTATTTCAAGAAAGTCCTCTATAGGTGCAAACTAAATGAAAACAACTGACACACCCCCCTCCCCCCCCAGCTGTGCCTCAATATAGAGGCTGCTTGATTTTGTTATGCTCTGTGCCAATCTAACTTTAACCCTTCATCTACTGGGGTTGTCTACAAGACATCTATCTAATCTGTGCAAGAAGAATTTCCTTAATTAAAGAAGAATGAACATTTAAACTGGCCTGCTGCATATGAAAGACAGCTCACAATCTCTACAGAGCAATTCAAGACTTACCCTCTCCAGGGTCAGCAGTCTGAACACAATTCGGGTCAGTAATGTCCCACTGCTGTTATCATCCACCAATTGCTCTAGCCGCTTACATGAAACAAGTTGATGACCTCAATTCTGTTTCCACCAGAGATGCTTCCGTAACAGAGAGACATTGGTAACACATGCAGCATCCCTGCTAACAGTTCCAATAGACAGGCCAGAAACTACTAGGTCAGCATCATTAACACACTATCCTTTCAGTCCTAGGCCCTGCCTACACTAAGGAAATTGTGAAATATTCAGTAACAGCCAGTACTTGTGTGGCTCCACAAATGCTTGGTTCACTGGGGATTCCAATACAGACTGACCACGTCTAGCAGTATCTGCACACACAGAACTAAACAACATTTTCCTCATCATCTAATCCAACCCTCTGCTACTGCTGGCGGCCAGACAAAACATAGCAGTTTTGTGCAGAGATACTAAGGCTAGCTCTAGAATTAATGCAGCTGTATTAACTGGGCCAATTAAAAGTGTGCTTTTTGCTTTCCTTTGGATACAATCCTAATGTAATGATCCTGGTTTTAATAGGTGTCCTTGCATAGTCATACATTTCATTATACAAACATAACTTTAATGTTTTAAAGCTCCATTTTCAAAGTAGTTAGTCAGCAGCCTTACTCCTTACTGTTTCTTCAGAACCACAATCCTCTTGTCTGTTAGACACTTCATAGTGTAATTTCTGGCCTAATATAGCCACAAGTGGTTTATATTAACCTGTTCTTGCTCCAGTTTTGTCCCTAAGTTTGAACAGCCATTAGGTCCCATTCTTACTTGCTTTCTCCAGCACTTGTAAAGAGAAATCAAATTCAGATTTTGCTTTGCCAAGCTGAACAGGACCATCTCTTTAAGTCACTTCTCCAAGTAAGCCTCCCATTTCCCTGACCATCTTTTACCTCTTTTTTTGCCAATTTAAACTGAACCTTTTCAAGCGTAACAGGTTAAGAACTACATAATATGTTCCAGATCAAACGTCACCACTCTCTATATACAGTTTTTCCAGTCTCTACTGGAAATAACTTAATCTGGTACATCGTAGGATTGAATTTGCCACCATGCATCAATGGCTCAGACATGCTGATCCCTGAGGGTACAAACACCAATTCTTTCCCCTTTTCTGTTTTTACTGAGGAGCTCCGGGCTGTCAGCATAAATTCTTGTTACCAACTTTTAAGCACCTTAACTTGCGTTCCATACTACTCGAAATTTAAGTCTTTTTCTATTAAATCTACCCTCAAGGCCATCTATTTTTTTCTTGTTTGATATCCCAATATTGATCTGTATCATTTGTAGTGTCAATATCTGCATTTGTGTAAGTAAATTTCACATGCACATGCTTCTATTCTCTGCCTGCTTGCCCTCAACCAATCCTACGATAATTCGTAAGATGCATAAATACTGCTTCTGTAGCTCAAGGAGTAGTACTGCCTCTGTGTAAAAAGAACTGTCACTATAAAACTAGTCTGAAAACTTCAGGACCAAAACCGACTGACACTTATGGTATATAATAAAACTACTTTTTACAAAGGAAAAGTTGAAGTGGTTGTGTTTTATATGATAGCAGATTACTATTCTTCCCTTACTACACATACCTTTTTTTTAGCGTTAAGAGAGACTAGAGAGTTTTGCAAAGGTAATTTGTGGCTTGGTATCTGAATATTGGAAGTCTCACACAATGCAGTTTCATGCTAAAATGATACAGCCACTACAGAACGATACTGTTTTAGAAACACAGTATTTGCATAAAAGGTCAATCTGCTGCCAGTAGGCAAAGAGCAACATTTGCAATAATTTTACCAAGACACAGTGGATGAAATTGTCACTCAAACTGAACACAAACGTGAAACTGCCTGTTTTAAAAACAAAATTATTTCATATCCAGCCAAAACTCTGCAGAATTAACAGGGACAAAGCTAACAAATTTTAAAAGTAACAGAAATTAGGGTCATGTTCTCTTGGATCTTTCATTTTTTTTGTGAACAAATTTCCAGTTTTTTTTACTTTGGACTCCACACAAAGCACAAAGCCTTTATCTGACCTTGCAGTATCATAAAATGTAGACAGGGAAGCAGGACATGGCTGGGACTACTCATTGTTCAGTTCTGAGAATTATTACCAACTGACAGGAGTCCTGTTCTTCTTCTTTCTCCTAATCACAAATTGAATTCCCATCAAAAACAAAGAAATATTTGTTGTTTACAGGAAAAAAAAGCCTCACAGGAAAATTCACTAAATGAACATCTGCTTTCTCTATAGACAAGTTGCATATGCTTTCTTGGAGACGAGTATCAGGTTTTCTGTTAACACATCATTTTTGACATCAGGTTGTTGTACACCTCGGCTGTTCATACC